ACATTGATTTCGGATATGTTGGTCCACTAGACTATAAGGTTTGCAACACATGAAATACGAAAGTAAGAGCTTTGGAGAAGAAAAGAGTATTAGTCCGCAAGGTAGTGTTACTAGAGGTCTGCCCCAACCACCTCTTGTAGGTAAAAGCTCTAGAATACTCCCAAAACTTCCTCATGTGTACAATTTATAGCAGACTTCCTAAGTCACCATTCCTATCCTAACCTATATAATTCTAGAATTATGTACAATGGCCTAATACCTTTCAGACACAGGCTTGGCCCAACAAGCCCACCCAGGCCTCTGTTGGCAGCTCAATCTTGCACTCCTGACAGAGAACCCTTGACAGCACTGGATTGCACCTAGGTGTCGATACTATAAATCCTTTGTATAATCCTCGTGTTGGCACTTCATCCACTGTCAAGGAACGTCTCAAGAACATTCCAGACCCTTTCCGCATGCAAACGTGTGGACACCGCAACTTTACACTGCAATCTTGATATTGACACCTTGGACTCAGGCCCCCTAGACTTGCACCTGTGAACAGTAAGTCTTAGATTAGCCTTTAAAAATATTAATTTTTTTAAATACATTATGTCAACGTGATGAATATATTTTTAAAATTACTTAAAAAGAATTAGTTTTAAATTGTATAAAAGTTAATTCAAAAACACTTTGACTATAATCTAAAAAAAATTATGTTGAACAAAATGATGTTAATATAACTAATTTGGCATGGTAGACGAAAGCTAACACGGTTTGGCTTTTTTATTGTATCCACTTATGCTGTAGAATTATTGCCCTAGAATCTGCAATTCTCCATTCTTTTTGAGTTCCCAAAAAACATACACATTATTAGCAACAGAATGGACCAAAGAGTTAAAAAAAAAAAAGTCACTCAAGACATTATCAATGTATTTTATTTGTAGAATAACATGCGCTAAGACCAAAAATAGAGATTTGGAGACAACAGAATGTCATACTGTTCTATGGTCATAATGCAAGTTCATATGGACCAAACAACATTTTGCAGATGGCTGCATATAGAATGGAAATAATTGATCTCATTTCATGAAACT